TTTCAAAAACTCAAAGTTTGTTTTCTCAGTTATCCAGGTATATAACAGGAAACGTTTCTTTTTAACAAAAAAACGAAGTCCAGATGACATGATTCAACCTTTTTTGTTGTTATATACCTGGATAACTGAGAAAACAAACTTTGAGTTAAAGAAAAGAAAGTTTTAAAGCCTTTTGTTTCGATTCTTAAATTAACCACTTGGCATTTCAGAAGAATCCCCATCAGGTAAACAAACCAAGCGATAAGTTACAAAGTGAGTTTTTTATTTTAACAATTAAAAAACTGTTTTTTCCTCCTCCTGAGAATAACTTTGATCAGGACTTGATGAAGCTGGAGGCCGATTCAAAGTCTCACCTTGATCTTTGGAGCCGTCCTTCTGCTCCATGGAGACGAGGGCAGAGAAGTGCGCCTGATCGTACGCCAGGACCAGGGGGGAGCGGTGGCACTTGGCAGCCGGCACCTCCAGCGGTAGGTAGATGCCTCCAAATGGAATGGGAGCAAAGGCTAGAGAGAGTCGGGCATGTTTTTTATTATTCAAAGCAATGACCTCTGCACCGTTTCCTTAACAAGAAAGGACTTTATGTCAAAAACAGCCTTAATTAAACAATGGAGAATCAGGAATATAATGTTGCAGAAAAGACTGAAAACGAGTGAAAAACATCCACTTCTTTAAAAGAGTTACAAGAAACATCTGGCTGCTTGGAGGTAGAATGTGAAGAAAACTGGGCCTGAGCTTCCTACACATTTTCCTTTTATGAAACTCATAATTTTCCAGTCACAAAATCTAAGATTAGTTTTCAAACTTCTGACATGAAAGGTGAGTAAATTCACATTTTATCTCCACGCTGAAACTGTTTTATTGCTGGGGCGCTTCAAACACCGTTCAAACAACAATTTTCACATTTAGTTTAAGTAGCAGTGTCTAAGACTATTTTTATATGAAATGTTTAGTTGGTAAAACTGTCTAACGTGAATTAAAAAAAATATATATTTTAGTTTTTAGTCCAGACTACGTGGTTACTGAGAAGTTGCAAACATTTGGCTAATGATCTGCGGTCAGTTGATCACACCGGGTCTTAGCATTAGAATCAACCCGTGGTTCACGACTTATCAAGAGACATCAGATGAGTCTGCATGCACGCATGGATTAGTCAGTAAAAACCAACAACACCGACACCTGCACGTTAAGGCTGGAAGTGGTCGATGGCCAAAGGCTGCAACAAAATGACTATATCAGTTTTAAAACCATCGTTTCAACTGAAGCAAATGTTCTCGTTTCTTCATAATGAAAACAAAATGTGTTTATGTAGTTGAACTTTAGTTTCCTGCAGCAACTAAAATGAGTCGCCCACTACGTAGGAAAAGATTTGACCCTGTTTTATTTTAATAGATGGGTTCTGTCCACATAATAAAACACAAGCAAGTCACTCAGAACAGAAGGTCATCCAATTATCTGATGTCTTTTAAACATGGACACGTCACATTACACGGTGGACCAGCTCCTGGCATATTCACCTTCTCCTCCCGAGTCCCTCAGCATGGTGTCTGCCACCACAACGATGGGCCTTCTGAGGACGTGAGCCAAGACGAAGACATGAAACTCCTCCAAACTCTCATAAACCGGCTCGTCAGAGGACTCGGCTCTGAAGACAGACAGAAGAACTTGTTTCAAGGAACTCCCTGCAAACTACAGAATCCAACATAACGTTACCTTGAACTATATTAAATGATTTAAAAAGCTACTCCCGAGAGATTTCCAGAAACATCGAGACGCAGTTCTGAAATGCAGCTACGAAAAATGTGGCTGATTCAAACCATGATTTGATTCACGGCCTTCAACTACACTGGGCTGGCTGTGGTTTGTGTAGAGAAACAAATATGGAGTAACTGGCCAACCGTTGGGACGTTTAGAGGGAAACAAGAGTGGATCTGCTGCTAAACGCCAAAGAGAAAAAACAAGGACGTAAACGGACCCTGACCTTCAAACGGCTCCTTCATGGACGGCAACATTGCTGCCCTGTTTTCTCTCACTTCGGCTGATTTTGTGGGTAAACTAATGCACATGTTAAGATGGCAGCCAATCTTGCTTGAAAATATTTAATTTCAGCACACGTCAACCACTGATATGAGTAAAAAAGTTGCCCAGATTTAGTTTCTTACTTTATTTATTATTTTTTGGACAGTCTTCACAAGTACCATATTTTTCGCCCTATAAGTCACAGTTATTTTGCATAATTTACATTCCCAAGTGACTTATTAATTTCTTTTTCCATATTTATAAACCAATTTTTGGCTGAGATATGACCGTTTTCATTCATTCTGACATTGAAAATATTGAACACTACCACTTTCAGCCACTAGATGGCACTGCAAGCAGTATGGCAAACCGTTGTGTTATGTAACAGGTAAAAGTGGCTATTAATGCGACAATCGGCTTGCCACGCCTGGCATCTTCGTCCAGCTCTGGGATCGTGCCTGGAGCAACCGTCACTTCATTCAACCTTTATTTAGACAGGTAAATCCCATTAAGCCCCGAGGACTCATTTACAAGAGAGACCTGAATTTGACCATTGAAGTGCATTTATTAAGTAAAAGTTCAACTGAGGCACACCTTTGCTATAATGTCGAGCAAAAAAATAATTGTTTTTAAGTGTTAATCTTGTTACATTCTTGTTAAAGTCCTCCCGTGGCCACCATTTGACAGCCAGTCAATTTTTGTTACAACACCGGCTCGCCCACATTTACGGGTTGTCAGCGGTGATGCATAAAACATGCAACGTATTTATGTTGTTTTCCACTTTATAAGACATATTTGGACTGATGCGACTTATAGGGCGGTGCGACGCTTACGGCGAAAAATACGGTAGCTTTAAACTGGAGCAAAGCAAGATCAGCGTACAGGAGATTTCTGACACTTTAGAGTCAAAATAAAATGGTATGTAATGGAAGGATGCTTCCATTCTGCTTGACACGTGAATAACAAACAAACGACGAGCGGTCACTCACATCCGACTCGTTTGTTCGTGGAAAAAAACAAGGCTGTGACGACGTGTTGTGCGTTAACAGTCGCTGCATTGTCGGAGCCAGACCTTACCCGTTGGTGCCGTTGGTGCTGTAGTGGATTCTTGGCTCGCTCGAGGCCAGCTTCAACAGTTCGTTCCACTCTTTCTGCCACTCCTCCTCTGTGTACACCAGACCAGACTGAGGAGGAGAGGAAAGGCGCATGCAGCCATTTAGAGCGGCAGTGTCAAATGTCACAAAAACATGCGCTCTTTGTGGCGTCTTACCACGAAGCTACAATCAAGCCCAGAGCCTCTGAAAACTCTGTGCTGTTCATGCAGCAGCAACAGAACCAAACGGAAAATGCATCCAACACTTCAAGTCGTGGTTTATTTCTCCAAAAAATATAAAACTTAACAGTCACAGCTTCACATTAAAAGTTTCCCCGTTGCAAACACACTCCTCTGACTAATCTACCGGAGCTGTTCCGCTTTCAGAAATGTGCTCGAGGCCACTTCAGGTGTGGCTGAAGAACGAGTGAATATTAAACAGTTATTCGTGTGGCATCTCCCCTGTGGGCGTCTGCACGTCGTCTGCCACCACATCAACACACGCGCACACACAAACATGCTTGCCGTGCGACAAAGCTCGCTTTCATGAGAACAAAATGCATTTTGTTCGGTTCAAAAAAAGCCTCTTTTTGTTTTGAGGTGCAGCAGAGTACACAGCTCTGTACGAGCTCTTTAAAACCAGATCATGAACATCTGAATATAGATGTTAAAGTTCAACATTATCAGTTCATTTGATACGGCCATTAACATACTTGTGTAGAAAGTGGAAAATATTTACTCACTACGAATACTTAAAATAAGACAAGCGATCCGATTAATTATACACGACAGAAACATTAACTTTAGTCTAACTCAGCAGCTCGTCTTTATACTGAATATTAATTCTGACACACGTTTTTATTCTAATGTACAAAAAATGAACTGAGCTCAATGCATTTTTATGTCTTAGTGAAGTATTGTTTGCCACCTAAAGGAAGCGAATATCTTAAATAAGTAATTTTAACCTGTCTGTCAGACTGTCGGACCTTTGTTTGGAGAAATAATGCTTCTGTTTGACAGAACTGACGAGCTGATCTGTCTAAAGAACAAACCAAAGACCAAACTGGGTTTCTACAGCCTCAAAACATTTTCCTTAAAAATCCTTAAATCTTCTGTTATTTATATGTAATTTTGTAGTTATTTGCCTGCAGAAATAACAAGAGTTAGATGTAGCATCCAAATGTCACATCCTGCAGGAATATCTTAATATTTCAGCCTAATACTTGTGTAATGTGAAACTAACAGCGGAGTAAAGGGTTAAAAAAAGGGTTTGTATGAACCCGGAGACTATTTTGAAGACTGAAGCCGTTTTACAATGACAGTATTCCACTTTGTTTGTTCATTAGCTGATGAGTTCTGTCGGACTTTAACTCCATTTCTTCAAACTGAGGCCAACGGAGAAGCTTTGTACAACAGGTAAGATATTGACTATTTGTATATTTTACACAGAAACCCTTCAAAATGGCCAAGATGTCGTTTTAACTTGACGAGAAGCTTCAACCTGATAACACAGCTGGTAGAAAAGTGCAGCTTGTGTGACGGACCTCTTTGTTCTGTTGGGTCTGCTGCCACCTCCACCTGCGCTTCAGCGCCTCCCTCTCCAAGCCGTGATCCATGAGAGCGTACAAAGACTTCCGCAGCATCAAGTCGCGGTCGTGGAAACCCCACATACCTGAAGCAGGACGCACAAACAGAGTAAAAACACAGAAAAATGTTCAAGATGAAAGACCGAAGAAATGCCGGAATGTTCTCATTTTCTAAACGCGCGTCCTAAGAGAGCCGACAAACAGAACGTGAACCTGTCTGAAACTCACCGAGCGAGGCTGCGTGCAGCAAACAGTTTCCATCTCCACTTGTTGCCAGAGGCAGCAGACTCTGACAGTTTGGAACAACTTTCGTCCACCAGTTTAGTCGCCCTGCAGGCAGACAGAAAAAAATCCCCGTGAGTCTGTTGTTTGATGATTAAGGCAGGATGTTAACAGTTTGAACAGTGGGGCAGAAGAAGCAGAACATGGAGTCCATGACTGTTTTGGTGTTTGTAATTTTTAGACTTTCAAAAACATTTGAATTTATAAACATTTTCCCCCAAAACAATACGGTCAGATTTCTTCAGTTTCGTTAAAAAATTTAAATCCACTTCGACGAACTGATTTGTTTTTGTTGTCTTATGCTAATTTTAACTACCGGTAGCCTTTTGATACTTTTAGCCTTTAGCAAGTGGCTAGCTACCTTTATATTATTTATTTATATTACTTTATATTATTATTATTATATTTGCTCATTTTAGCTTTTTGGCTAGTAAATAATGAATCTTCTTAATACATCAAACTTGCTCATGGAGTTCCTCAGGGTTCAGTGCTTGGACCACTACTCTTTATCTTATATAAGCTTCCATTAGGTAAAGTTATTAAATAACATGGGATACATTTTCATTGTTATGCTGAAGATACACAGTTTTATTTGTCCAAGAAACCCAATGAATCCAGTCAGCTACTTAGACTACAAGCACGTCTTAAAGACATAAAAACCTGGACGACCCTAAATATTCTGCTCTTAAACTCAGACAAGACAGAGGTTTTGGTTTTTGGACCTGAGCATCTTGGGAATAAATTTTGCCGTCTTTCATTTTCTCTGGATGACATTAATTTGGCCTGCAGTTCTAAAGTTAAAAACCTTGGTGTTATTTGTGATCAGGACATGTCTTTCAACCCCTACATTAAAAACGTTACCAGAACTGCTTTCTTCCAGCTGCGTGATATCAATAAAATTGGAAACGTCTTGTATAAAATAATGATGCAGAAAAACTGGTCCATTCATCCATTCATTCACAGTGTTCGTGCATAAATGCAATTTCTACCACTTAAAACTATTTTTGCTAAACTGGGTGATTTTTCTGTTATTGTACAAGTCTTTAAATTTCTCTTATTTTGAAATCAATGTTATCAAGAAGATTTTGCACAAAGTGTAAAACAGTAGACACTTTGGGACCAGTTCATGAGTTCCACTGATGCTTTTCATACAGGTGAACAATTATAAAGGTTCAAAAATGAATTCAGTGATGCGTTTTCAAATGTTTGACAAAAATTTAAATTGACATGCATTTATATTTTTTCATTCCTTTATGGGAGAGGGAGAAAATAAACATATGGTGGAACTTTAGACTCCAAACAAGTCTGAGCACAGTTTTTGAATCCAAACAGAAACGTTCCTCTGCCCACGCGCCTCTCGTTACCAACTCCACCCCACATGCACGGTCTTACAGAAACTGTATTCATTGCTTTTAATATTTATTCATATATCTAATAATACATCATACCATATCGCTTCTAGCTAGTTAATATGTACTAATGATGCCTCTATTATTCTGACAACGACATGTGTTGGTCATATTGTGGAACTGCCGTTAGTTTATTAAGTTAAATTTGTTCTGCAAACAGATTTAAAGAGATAATCCTGTTTGATTAAATTCATTTCTGTTTCTGAGGTTCTTCTGAATGTAACAAAGTTCGGCACAAGTCCTCTGGAAGTTATAAAATGATAAAGATGTGACCTCAAATGTAATAAAATAGATCAGATTAGCTGATTAACCTAAATTAGATTAGATTTCATCAGGTTCCTAACATACATACAAATAACCCAAACACAGATGTTTTTATTTGCAGTCTATAAAAGCTGTGAGTTTTTACTAACATCTAGATTAAATATTGTTCAAATGTTTAGGTATTCAGTTTAATCAGCCTCAATAAATGTAACAATTAAATGTTAAACAAGAATAATGAGGTATTGAGTCCATTTTCTCTTCTCAGAACTTGTTTAGGCTGCAGCAGGTTGAAGACTACATGAAAATATTCACATGGATTTACTCTCTTTTGGAAAACTCAACCAGTCGGTGGTTAAGAACAGGTGAAAGTTGGTTTTCAGTTGTGCTAACCAGCATTCTCCAACGCCACCATCATGGACTGCTCGATCAGGTCCCTCTCGATGAAGGTCCTGAAGTCGTCTCGGTACACAGTGAGGTCCGGCAGTTGGAAAGTGCACAGCGGCGTGTCCAGGAGCGGCTCGTTGCTGCTTCCACCCGTGCTCGAGACGTGAGAGCGGGCCAACGACACGATGGTCGAACTGGCGTGAGAGATGCCGCGGGACAGACGCTTTTCTGTGGCTGCTGAGAGACAAAGGAACAAAGATTTGTTGTGGTTTGTAACACCACGGATGCAAAGGGTGCATGACAAACTGCCGGCCTCACCTTGCACCACTTCGTCTTGGCGGTGCAGTATCGGCCGCCCGACCCTGGCCATCTCTTTCTCCAGCGGCTGACACGTCCTCTCTTCTGGGAACGAATACGCCAGGTTGCTGGCGTGCACCTGTCGCAGCTGCTCAAAGTCACTGAGCGCAGCAGTAAAATCCCAGTTTTTGCCTACAGAGACAGAAGGAAGAAGATATCCATCACCCAGACCGACACGGCAGCCTGAATTTGTTTTCTGTGTCAAGCAAATGACACATCCTTATTGAGTTTAAATATTTACCACAAGGCAATGCAACTTAGGCTCTCTTATCTAATGCAAAGGCCACCGGCACATTCCATCACTTGGGTAAATATCTGAGTTTGCTGCTGCTGCATTACAGCCCACATTTCTATCTGCAACTTGCTCTGCTGCTAGGCAACAGAGGCCACGTTAACTCCAGCTTTACATCGTCTCGCTTTTTTAGGCCAATTAACAGTAACGAGACCAAAGTGTCGCCAGTATCAACTTTACACCCTTAACCCATTCCTTCCCATGAGTTGTTAGAGGAATGGAATACAAACAAAAAGACTAAAATGTTGAATATTACAATAGGTGTGCTTCTAAAACTTTTCTTTATAAATCACCTGCTTAAAACAAGTCATGTTTGATTAAACCAGAGCTCCATATTTCAGGTTTGTACTGCTACAGGACCGTACTTTTTGGCCTATAAGTTGCATTTTGTTGCATAATTTGCATGCCCTACGACTTATATGCCGAAGTGACGTATTTATGGATTTTTTTCTCATATTTATAAACAAATTTTTGTCTGCGATATGATCGTTTTCATTCAATCTGACTGAAAATATTGAGCACTACCATTTTCAGCCACTAGATGGCACTGGAGTTGTATGGCATGCCATTGTGTCATGTAAAAGGTAAAAAGTGGCTATTAATGACACAATCGGCTTGTCTTCCACCTTCATCCAGCTTTATTGGAGCAACCGTGAAATCGGCTTCATGTCACTGAGCTGCTCCGGCGAAATGAAGCTGATTTGATCATAAAGTGCATTTATTAAGGAAAAGTTCAACTGAGACAACTTTACTATAATTTCAAGCAAACAAATAATTGTTTTTAAGTGTTAATCTTGTTAAATTCTTGTTAAAGTCCTCCCGTGCACGTTCCCGCGACCGCCATCTGGTAGCCAATCGTTTTTTGGCACAACACCGGCCCACATTTCCGGGTTGTCAGCGGTGACACATAATAAATGCAACGTATACGGCAAAGTGACGCATTTATAGAATTTTCTGCTTTATTAGACATATTTGGACTGTTGCGACTTATAGGGCGATGCGACGTGTACGGTGGAAAATACGGAAACTCACCCTCCAGCAGATCTCTGGCCAATCCTGGTTCGGCACCAGTAGAACGGACAAAGTCGGACAGGACTGCGTCCATGTCCACGGTCATGTGATCATGAATTCACAAGGTGGATGGCTGCATCCGGGCATAAAAACTAACTAACAAACATACAAACAAAAAAAGATGCAAAAACAAACAAACACTCTGCTCTCCACAACCGGACAGCAGGCGAGGGGGTGGAGCGGTCCTCCGGTGTGAGCTACTCAACCAACCACACCTAGAAAAAAAGAAGGAAAAGAGAAATTAAACTTAGAAACATGAGCACATGCGAAGATGAAACATTAACAATAATATGACAGGAACAATAAAGAGGACATAAACTCTGGGTCAAACTATTTTTAAGCAGTCTGTCGTCAGGCTGCTTTTGAACGTGAATGATTTTGCTGTCAGTTGTCCTGCAAGTCGCTACAAACAGCTTTAAATTAAAACAAAAGGCTCCAAATGATGATGCAAAGTGTCTGCATTAAATTCAAGCTTAGCAAAAACACAGAAATGTCTACGACTCTAAAACTTGGTGTGGCAGCAGCCGAGTCGACTCCAACACACATTTCAAGCACTAGCAGATCCTTGTTTAAAACTTTAGGCAGTGGGTGATGTGCACTGCTTCATAAAATGCCAATTGGGAAAAATATATAATGAAACATGAATAAAGACGAGTTTGCTTACAGCAGATATGATGCGTAAAGAAGAAGACCGGAGCAAAAAGGTTGTTTAAATGGCAATCATTTAACATACTACAATTTGGTAGTAATGTTGACAGACTTGCATAAATGGGGGAAATGACGTTTGTCATGTGGAGAACTTTTTGTTTTACTTTGTTCCCATTTTTTAAAAATAAAACCAACAAAACTGATAGAGATCATTAATCAGAACTAAGTCTTAACCAAAGAGTGCTTTAAACATCACCTGTTGAACACACAACTAGATTATTAAACACACAACTAGATTATTAAACTAAATCCATGTTGGTGTCAAATCATGCAAAATGTTTGAAATGTGTTGCAAACAGTGAAAATAAAGTCAGCCTTTTATGTTGGTTATATTCAACTTATTTAATGATTTGATGAACGCTGTTCTGTGAACGAACTTAGATTATTATCTACGTTCATCCTAAAGTTAGATTTGTTAAAGCAGTGTGATATGAGGATAACGGTGTGCCTGTCAATGGGCTCTTTTAAAATCAATTAGGCCGTTCCAGTCCTCGGATTTCAGCAGCAGTTCAAAAGGGACTGGGGGTTGCATCAGTTGGCCGCTGAAATCAATGGAGAGACATTATCAAGGCTGAGAGAAAATGAGAGTCAGCATCAATGGGCCGTTGACACGGAGGATGCAGAGGGCAATCGATGCAACAGCCGGACAGAAGGCATGAGTCAGAAACAGCCCTGAGTTAAAGGAGCCGCTGTGGGCGCTTGGTTAGAAATAAAAAATAAATCACGTATTCATGCTTACAGTATTATCTGCAATGTATAGCATATATTTCATAAGGTTCAGCTTCTGTAAAGAACTGTCTTCAAACAAAATAAAAGACTTCAAAACAGCCTTCCTTGAAGGAAAACACCACCTGTTGCCTTGCACACTGTTTTAAACACAGATCCTGAACGGTCCGTTAGCACTCGGAGTTTGTATTAGGGATGCCTCTCAGCAACTACCACACAGAATTGTAGCCTAATTGAGTGATTTGTAGCCATGTTTGTGTTTGTTAAGGCTGATTAGCTGTGGCAGTCATTAGGTCTGTCGCAATAAACAATAAATCAATTAAATGCACGATAAATGAAAATTATCAACCTCATTTTCATTTGTCGTCTGTATCGTTTCTTCGTGTCTCTCTTTCTACTGAAGACACTGGATGACAAAAGGCTCAACTCCGTGCTCGTCACTGATTCTTCCCTTTCGCTTTAATAATCTGTTTTAACCGTCCATAACAGCGTTTTTGGATCGTTAAAAGCAGCGAAGCTGAGAAGCTCTCCTCGGGGAAAAAAACAAACTTTGTTTTGTCGAAGCTCCAAAATTCACGGTTGAAACCAGTGCCTTCATCTAAAATCTTGTTTTTCTCTGAAAAAAGAAGCTGAGAACTTGTTTACTGATTTTTTTTTAAATTAAAAGCTTTGTGTTAAAAATGCTGTGCTAAAGAGCTCAAACCACACCGAGACATTTTAAGAACCGAAAAAAGTAAAGAGAGACAGCCCATGTCATGTCAAGGGGCCTCCCTCTCATTTTTCTTAAAGATCCACGCTGCTTGCTCCCTCACTATCCATCCTTCTGTTCAAACAGTCTTATACTGCCATCCAGTGGTAAAAAAAGGTACTACACTCAACATAAATTAACATTTCTTCTTAAATTTGACAATAATGGCTAATTATTGTCAAATTTCAAACATGATTATCGTTTATCGCAATAATTTCTGAGACAATTAATCGCCCAGCAAAATTTGTTATCGTGACAGGCCTAGCGGTCATCCATAGATGGAGCGGTACGTCCAGTGATTGTTAGTTAAAATCTGTGCACTAGTTGTTTTACTAACAGACACACAAATAAAACCACAGCCAATTCTAGTGTTTCCAAAGCAACAGTTCAGCAAATTGTTAGCAATCAAAATGTTTTTAACAAAAGATAACGTAATTGTAAATTAAATGTAAAGTGTGGTGGAACTCTCAGCTGCAATAAGCTGGTTGTGATCACTACACATTAATGTTGTCGATCAGCAAATAAACCCCGCAGAGACTTTAGAACACAAAAAGCCGTCGTTTCACCTTCGAGTTTAGGTCTGACCATTTTTATTTCTCCGTACCGAGCTGCAGTCATGCGTTCCCATCATTCCTACGACTCATCCACCTCCCAGTGTTCCCAGCTCAGCCGTGACTCACTGAAGCCTTTTCTACTGCGTCTGATGAATCACGAGTTTATTCTTCGTGCACCTCTCCACCGTCCCTCTCGTTCAGCTTTTACTTGTACCGAGAGCCACGCAGCCACAGACTTGCTGTGCAGGCGGTGGGTTTCTGCAGAGCCTGCCTCAACAGTTTAACATTCCTACAGTTTGTCAAGTCTTTGATGCTACCTGATATTGTCCACTCTAATGGAGGAAAACAAGCGTTGATCCTATTCAGACTGACAGAAATGTGGATTACACTGCATTTCTGAAAATCAAGGACGCTGCTTCAAAAACCCAAAGGGCGGACCGTTAGGAAAAAAACAGGAAAAGAAATACAAACCAGTCCAACGGTCGTGAGCAAAGGTGAAGGGTGAACTATTTTTAGACTCACCGCATCACACACAAAAATTACTCAAAGAAAGATTAACCTGTACAAATAAAAGGTTGAATGAAAATTCTGAATTTGTAAATGTTAAAAATGGGTTTTGTTCATCTGTGCTGCTACCGAGTGTCTGTTGTGCAATTCTGTTTGTCCTAGTAGAGTTACCGTAGATTTTGTTGTAGTAATACAAAGGAGTAAAATTGTCTATTTTAATATATTTTTCATCTTTTCTTTGCTGAACCCTGAAAAATATTTGTATCTAACAGTTGAGGTTATTAGTTTGGGTATAAGTTTTCCACTGGTAAACACAATGTTAATCACATTAGCTTTTCAGTGGAACTTTCAATATTAAGTTAGCGCCTACGCTAGTTGTTGGACAGGCTTGTGATTTATTTATATGTAAAATAAGCCAAAACGATTTGAGTTTTAAGATAATTAAAATACAATGATCTTTATTGTTTGTAATCTAAGCCTCTGAACTGTGAGGCGCCTAAAAGTCCTATTAAACACTCTGGAATAACAAAGTTCAGCTGTGCAGAGATTAAATAAAATCTTTACATTGCTTTTAGTTTGTCATATTTTTTTCTGTTGGTAAAATTTACCTTTTCCAAACAACTGCTTCAATCTAAGAACCCCTGGTTGCATTTTTCTCAATCAGTTCTTATGAAGAATATTTGAGGAGCTTGATTGAAAACCTGCGAGCTCTTAAAATCACAGCGAAGGAAAAACAACTTCCATCTTCTGCCAAACTGCACCATTTAACATGGAATGTCTTCTGTGTTCCTGAACGCCAAAAATAAAACGGCTCCAGGTTGTTGCTCATCTGAACGAACGCATGAACTCAAACTGAGAAGGAATTGCAGGACAACCTGAAAACGTCTGTTTTAAAACCATGCGCCGCTGGAACTTCTGCTGAGATCAGTGAAAAAATAGCACACAATGCATTTTCTTGCTACTTTTAATTGTAGCTTGATCAAATTGCACATTTGAGAATGTTGCATCACTAACATAGGCCAAAATTTAGAATTAGGGCTGGTAAAATCAAATCAAAAAGCAAAAGTATCACAAAAACACAAATAAGGTCAAAAACAGTCTGGTTGTCGTTAACGTCCAGACAAGTAACGGATCATTAAAGCAGGTGGAGAACAGTTAAAACCAAGATTGATTTAGTAGAATTGTTTATAATTCCATATTTAACTTTTTTTTTTTTTAATTTCTGAAATCATAACCAACCTTGTAAGATATTAAATGCAATTTTCTCTTTCTTGTTTAGTGTTCATTATTAGAAACATGTGAGAATTTCATCCTTATAAAACAATATTCTGCACCAAGCAAAACACAAACTACTAGAGCACGGCCGGTGCCTTTTATGATAAAAAGCCTGTAATCTCTGAAAGTTATTTTTGTTTAAACATTAGGACAAACGGTTATTAGACTAATGCATCAGTGACTCCCCCACTTCTTTCCTCTTTTGGCTGTTACCTCTTCCGGGGTCACCACCAGCTTCTGACTCCCAAAATAACAACAGCAAAGACTTGTGACCCCAAGTCTTGGTTGGACTACCCACTGGTAGTTGCCTATTAGCAAGAAGGTCGCCGGATCAAATCCAGACCGGGGGCCTTTCTGGGTGGAGTTTGCATGTTCTCTTCGTGCATGCGTGGGTTTTCTCCGGATACTCCGGTTTCCTCCCACAGACCAACAACATGCATGTTAGACTGACTGGTAACGCTAAATTGTCCCTAGGTGTGAGAGTGAATGGTTGTTTGTCTCGCTTGTCTCTATGTGTCCCACTGGACT